TATATATATAGGATACGTATTCTTTCTATGCCTATCAATACTCAAAGCTATAAGTAGCATAGGAATGAGTTCATTACTCGCGTACATCGTTTATCAGTTGGATCTTCAGTAAAAATGTCTCGACCATGAACGCGTTTGCTGGTCTGCACATAATTTAAGTTAAAGGTAAAACTTCATTTATATAAACAAATAAAATGCTAATAAACGCTTTAATTATACAGTAGAAAAATGATAGGGTTCCATCTGCCCAGCCTACAGTGAACAGCTGTGAAGGAACTGACAGCCTCTTAATTTACGACAAAAGATGAAAAAGGCTCAAATCGAATCATACGAAGACTTTGTGGAAGATTGGGCAATAATTGTTATGATAATATGTATATCTTAATCTAGTAGTCGTTTACATAGAGCCTTTCTTTGAAACTAACAACATATGGACTACAATGATAGTACGAACGTATTTATTCAAAGGGTACGTACAACAACACAGTCTGAGAAAACCGTCATTCAATGAAAACGAATATTCTTTCAAGGAAATGGAAAAGGAAGGAATAACTAAACGTGAATCCAAAATCATATCGTGTGCTGTGCATCACAGTCTAAACAGAGATGTGACTACCTTTTTGTGAAAATAATGATACATTTATTGCAATCGTATGAAATTCGAAGCTCTTGCAAATACAAATAAAGCGACTCTAGTCTGTAAAGGATTGCCGATAGGGGGTCGATACATTTATATCTCTCCTATCTAAAGATTCGTTTGTCCACGCCATTTTTAAACCAAAATTAAATTTTTTCTTTCCAATTTCTAATAACAGTACCAAGCTAGATATGCATCATTTTCATCGATGACCTTCTGCCATTTTTTTTTGGTAGCACTATGATCCCACATCACTGTAAAAGGTCTATATTTTCGGGGTGAAAATTTGTGGTAAGTGACTTTTGCGTCTCTGTACTAGAACTATATTAACGCCGTCAAAAGAGTTAAAAAAAGACGGTACTCGATTTATGCTATACCGAAAATGCATCAAAATTTCCCATCTAAGTTCTCTCTATTCCTATGTGGTTTATTGTTGTTATTTTTTTTTTAATGGTTTGATGTGGTTTTGCTAGCTGTTGACAGCGGAAGTCCGAAACAGTCGTGTACCAGCAACCCAGAGCGCACGAGCCCGTTCCACTCCCACCAATCTCTTTACCTTCTCAGGCGTCAGTCTGGGCTTTGTTACATGGCACATTTTGTTTACTTATATATTACATGCTGTCAAATGTAATTATATTTTTCATCCATCAGCTGCTCCAGAAATTGTTCGCTTTAACTGGGTCGTTACAGAATCTCGCGGCTGGAAGAACAATCAGTTTCTTTTGCGTTGGGTCGTATGGCAACCAAATGGCGTTCTTTTTTCCAAGCTAACTTTCTTCAAATAACTTTTTGCTGATTGATGCTTAGTTCCTCGGCGATATCATGACTATTCAGGTGTCGGTCTCGCTCAACTCGCTCAATAATTCATTCGATCAGATCTTTCCTTGACTGATCGACCGTCTTTCACATCGAAATTTTCAGAACGAGTGCAACAGATCCATCTTTGAGCTGTCTCCTGCGATAGCGCACCTTGACCGCACCTCGTGAAAACTTTTTTGTACGTCTGAACAGAATTCGTACGTTTATTGTAATAAAATTGAAAAAATATGGCAAAATTTTGCAAAAAATGTACTTACCTTTAAGGCGATCTATCTTAAGTCTGATTAAAAAATATTTACGAATTTTAGGTAACCGATTTGTTACTACGAAGCCTTAGCTTTCAAACGTCATTAAAGCCGATTCGAAGCGACTGACGTGAAGTATAAAAAGTGATCCATACCTTCTCGCCAAATCAATGCTAAAAACTACAACGCTCATGATACTAGTTTTAATTAGAACTTGACTAATGTTATCTACGAAGCGTCAGGATTTAACGAAAATCGCTTCGTTTATGTAGCGCCCATATTGAAGAGTCGCATTTTATCGGCAAATACGTTACAGCTAAATTTACTCGTTGAACTTTTTTTTGCAACTGGGTCCAAATATATAGACAAGTTCGATATTCTATAAAATAGCTTTACCTCTAATATATTAGAGGTAGATATGCATGTACCAATCATATCAATCTGCTAATGATGCCGGCGTATTAAAATCATTGGATTAGTGAATGTCCTTTAATCAGGCGACGCCTCTTTGCTCAATTGAGCTAGGGATAGATAACGTTAGTGCAACAAGAACGGTTACTATGGATCGAGATCCCCCCTTTCTCTAAGCTGTAGACATTACCATCGAACAGATGACCAGATTCGTGAATTTCATGAGCAGACCTATTTTTTTCTAAAACGTTTACGTATGGCTGTGATCATTAATACGACGTATGTGTGGCGAAGAGTGAATAGAAATGGAGATAGTTAAGGACTTGATTTACATGTAAGTTATACGAAACGACATTTGTCCACTTTACGGATAGAATACACTTCGACGATACGAACTGAGGATATCCAGGTTCTGTGTTGGCTACCAACTATAAAGTCTGTTAGATACAAAGCTAATGCTTTCTCCGAGCTAGCAAAAAAATCATTTGGCAGAGGTAAGACGTAGGCCACCTTAGAAACAAGCCTAGTGGTTTCGTGAAAATAAACAAGGAAGTCCTGACTTTGGTACAACGGCAATCCGTATGAACGTGTCAAATGGGCAAAATGGTTACTTGAGATGAGCCTGCACAAATACGTTGTATGAAATCTGTAATTTTTTTTTGGAAGCATTGATTGGGAAGTATCAACATGAGAAGCGTCGGGTGGGATCGTTTTCGAATGTTTCGTTGACATCTACGACATTCACTATACGACCAGTTGCAATTTTTCAAATGTTGCCTGTATTAAGTTCACTATTCTTTCGTAAATCATGCGGAGTATCAATGAATTAGACAGCGATATATTTCGTGACGAAAACGCGGTGCACTTAACTCGGTATTAAGCACGAACGTTTCAACTAGCAATCAGAGGTTCGTCTAGGTTGACTAAACATGGGACCAGTAACTGGAAGGCCTCTTGGAATATGATGAATATAACGTCATGACTAAAGTGTGCCATTTTCTTTCACGATGCCTTATTCTGAATTCACTTCATAAGAGCGATATAGAGTGAAGTTACAAGAAAGACTCATTGTTCTGACGTTCCAGTGGCTCGATCTCAGTAGCTGCACTCTTGATCGCAATAGTATTCCTGCTCATCTCGCTGAAACTAGGCGTATACTGTCGCGCGTACTGGATTCGTACGCCTTCCTCGACATCATTCCACAATCCTATTTACGAAGAATTCCAGAGCTCTCCGCGGCGGATGAGTGAAGAGCTAACCGTTGACAGTAGGCCCAAATCATTGCCAGCGCCTATAAAACCTGTCGACAATTTTCACCGCGTGACAAAAGCACTCTACAAGAGCCAATTTGAGATTTTAATTACAGACAATTAGAAACGATAGCAATAATGTTCAATCGATAGTGCTTCCATTAGCTGCCGAACCATACAAAGTACAAATATACAGAAGGAAATTTCCTATAACAAGCTCTATCAGAAGCCTAAATGGGCCGATGAACCAATATGAAACACCAAAAACTGCATTTTGTCGGCTAATTTAAAACCATAACCAAGCCATAGGCTGACCTAGCAGAACACTGAATTTTCAACGGAGATCATGCTTCTTCTAAGCTCTAATGTAAAGAAAATAGTCATTGTGAGGATCGGGGTCTGCAGTCACAAGACTAACATTTATTACGGGGGGTGTCATTCGAAAATACGCTTCGTTCCTTAAATAATGTTTTCACGCTATATATTATTATTTGGAACCATTATTTGGGATGATGAGTTTATTCAGCGCCTGTGAGACATAGACCTATGTTCGACCTCACTATATGTGCTGTCTATATCAATCAATGCACGTGTGTTTTCAGTGTAACTCAATGATGTCATGAAAACATTTTCATTATTAATGCCTTAGTACATTCTTTCCTTTTCTATATCTCGTCGTAAAATGAAGCTTACAGTCGTTTATATCTCAAGTGTTGTATAAAGGGTCACTAAAGTATAGCAGTACACTATCTTAGTTTATAAGTGTACCGCTTTGTTTGTCAAAACAGGTTTGCAAATATATTCATGATTATATTTTATCTATGGCTAAATGTAATAGCGGTAACAAGTTTATGAAAATCAGCAAATGATAACAGGTCATAACGCGGCTTTAAGTGCTTCAAAGTTTTACCCCTCATGTTTATGCCATTTACATTGCTTCGTCATAGTCCTTTGAGTCACATCGAAAGGCTATACATATAAACGAGTGAAGCTGCTCCTGCTATGTGCATTTCTTATTCTATAATTTAGAATAGAAGGTTTTTTTTTAGGGTGCAGTTTTTTTTTAGGCGCAAAATTCAAATATTTACCAAATAATTCGCAAAACTATTAAAATCAATAGATAACCTTAAACCGAAAGGCGGAAGTAACTGCTTGACAATTTAACAAGGTAATTATTAATCCCTAAATAACGAAATTTATCTATCTGAAATCAATGGTTGTAAAGCTAAAGAATTTTTATATCGAAGCGTACTAGATTTTAGGTCGAAATTAATGATTTCATTCAACATCATGTTGGCGGATTACAAATTTGTTTGTAGTGAATGTTTAGAAGTCATGTGTATCGCGCTAGAAGAAAAGCACCGTCCTTTAGTTGAATGATGTGTTTAGAAAGGGCTAAATTGATGCTTTATAATAAACATAAATTGCGACCCATTTTTAGAAAGGCATGCGTGACCAAGACGCTTGTTGGGTCATTAGGCGATGCGTCGAGGAGTTGTAAGGCTACGATATGCATGGCCCACTCACTCATGACGTCAATAGGAAAATGGTCCTACAGACGTATTTTGTCGGGAAATAATCCACGTTTTCGGTCTCTGGACACGCTCAAAACCTCTCGTCTATCAGTATAAAAGGCGAGCACAACCTTACTGGTTTCAGTTCATCGGTCGGTAGCGACGACAGTGGTGAGCAATTATATTTCTGATCACTTCCGGTAAGTGTTCTCATCAATACAGTGGCCTTAACATTCGCCATAGTGTTGGTAAAGAAAATATTGGCTAAATGAGCATATATGCTAAACGGTTACATACCGGGCTCTTTATTTTAGAAGCGTCTAAGCAGTTGATAAAGGTTTTATATCTTTCTTTTTCATTGCAGCTATGCAATTCCGTCAATACTTCATCGTCGTGTGCCTGATCGCGGCGCCTTGCTGCGCCCATCTTGACGCCCGTGTACGTCAAGAATCTTTATGGACCGGATTTAGCCCAACACTTGGCCCAGACATTAGGAAAGGTGGCACCTACACTCGCGATATTGACTGGAATCGCTGCGAGAAGCTACAAAACAATAACAGTCCGACCAGGGTACAAAACTGTGGCTACGTGAGCCATCATTCAGTGATGGCAACTCCATGGAAACGAATGGAATTCGCAAATGACAGAAGGGAAGTCTGTTTCGAAACTCGCATGAAGCACCTAAACCGAGATAACGACCAAAAAGAAAATCAGGATCGTATCGATACCCGAGCCCGTGAAGAGAGCTTTTGGTCTGACTCCCGCATGGAGCGTTCTGAACGAGATGATGCACCTGCTGATGCGAGGCAAATCCGAGACAATGACCGGAGAGAAAATCAGGAACGCCTTGATTATCGAGCCTATAAAAAGAGTTTTCGATCTGACCCCCTCGTGGAACGTCTTGGACGAGAAGACAGTCATTCTGATATGAAGCGGGTCCAAGAGAATAATCGTAGAGAAAATCAAGAGCATTTCGGTACTCGAGCCCGTGAACAAAGCCTTCGAATTGACTCTCGCATGGAGCATCTTGAGCGAGACAATACTCGTGCAGATGCAAAGCGAGTCCGAGACATCGACCATAGAGAAAATGAAGAGCGTTTCGATAGCCGTAAGGAACGTTTTCGCTCCGACTTCCGCATGAAACGTGTTATACTAGAAAATGATCGTAGAGGAAGACAAGAGCGTTTCGATACCCGAGCTGATAAAAAGAACTTTCGCTTTAACTCTCGCATAGAGCGTCTTGAACGAGAAGATATTCGTGCAGATGCAAGGTGGGCCCGAGAAAATGATCGTAGGGAAAACCATGAACGTTTCGGTATTCGAGTTCGTGAAGAGAGTATTCATTCCGACCCTTCCATGGAGCGTTCCATACTAGAAAATTACCGTAGAGAAAACAAGGCAAGTTTCGATACTCGAACTTTTGAAAAAGATCTTCGCTTTGGATCTCGCATTGAACGTCTTGAACGAGAAGATACCCTTGCTGATGCAAAGTGGGTACGAAAGAATGACCATAAAGATGATCGAGAGCGTCTCGATACCCGAACCCGTGAAGAGAGTTTTCGCTTCGACTCCCGTATTACGCCAGAAAATAATCGTAGGGAGGATAAACAACGTCTGGATACTCAAGCCCGTGAAGAAAATCTTCGTTTTGACGCCCGCATGGAACGCCTTCAACGAGAAGATACCCGTGCAGATACAAGCCGGGTCCGAAACGATGACCACAGAAAAAATCAAGGAGGCCTCGATACCCGAGACCGTAAAAAGGGTCTGGAAATACGATCCGTAAAGACTCAAGATCAAGCCAGCTCTATCAAAAATCTTGCAGGATATCAGGATGACGCTAAAGTGAGATCTGCCTTTGACATCGTGCTTGCAACTTATGGTGATGACATTTCAAAGACCTACACAGAGATGGAGTTTGATACAGAGGACAACGTGCAAGAAACCTTGGCTAAAGGTACGACCATTGGACAGTCGTTGTTGGACACCGTTTTGAATGCAGCTCTGATGGCTGCGGTATATCATTTTAAACCTATACAATTTCATTCAAAAGATATTTTTGGAAAAGTCTACTAAATAAGCCTAAATGCTGCATAGTAAGGCATTGCTTACTTGTATTTTTGGCTTCTCGTGTCTCATTGTTATCTTATCAATAAATGTGCCCCACCCGTGATCATAATTAGCAGTCTGTTTTCTTTACTCAATAAACAATGTTTATTTGCTGCCAGTAACAAATACGACATATGTACAGTATTGTATCTACAATATTTACATGTCACGTTCGGTTTACACATAAATAACTAGAATTAAGTGAGAAGCAAAGTCTAACATTCCGTAAACTAAATTAGAATGCCGGGAGCGAATGTAACCAAAACTGAAACCAGTTCTATTACAAAGTAAGAAGGGCAGACAGCGGGAACGAAAGGCTAAGGTTGTGATCTGACTTCAAGTGACAAAGATCTACAATTCTACAGTATCAAATTCCTGTTATCCAAAAAGTATAACTTTGAGAGCATAAACAGTACAAATGTAGCACTAATGAAATGGCTTAACAGATATTTGTAAGGAAGATTTATCCTAATACCATTATCATAAGCCCTTGCCATACATTTGATGGGGGCCGCGAATTGATCCCCGCAAGATAGTCTTTTTTTTGTCAGAATCCGTGTTTCCATGGAAGCTTATGTTTGCTTGGGCTTGTCGTGGATCAGGCAGGGCAAAAACCTCGCTTTGCCCTCTAGTAGAAACAGATGGTAGAAGGTCGTATAGTGTGAGTTCTTGGAAGCCTTGCGTTACCGGAAACCAATCGGTTTGAAAACCTCCGTTGTTGTCTGGGTGCATGATAACTCTTTTCCTTCGAAGGCCGTGGTTGGCAAAACACTCAGCTGGAGGTACAAGCATCGCGCGCTGAACCGGTACCGATGGATGGTCCGCGATAGAGCCCGACGTTGAAAAATGAGGCGTAACTTTTTTGTTTGTATCCTCGAGATGTAACCGCTGATTGACTTTTTTGACATTAATATGAGGTCTTTGCAGAAAGTGAGTGATTCTGTGCGATGAAGTTGGATATGAACGACGAGCAGGAGGCGGTCGGAAAACCTTGCCAAAAAAATTATCCTCTGAATGAAACAAAAAAAGTTCGGGAGGTATTGCCTGGGGCATAACAGGCTGAGAGTGATGGAACGCCCCGAAATTGCTGTGGCTGCCGACTGAAAGCGACTTCGGTAATTGTTGCTGAAGCGAATACGCCTGCCCGAACTGAACAAAGTCGGAACCAACCAGCTGCAATTGCGTATCTGGGGTCCGTGGCCTAGAAATCGCCTGCAGGGAAGGAGCCACGGAAAGAGACGGTGGCTGTAATTTTTGTGGCGGAACTTGTGATAGATGGGTAGGTACCGTGGGGAGATGAGGCGGTGCTTGTATGGTAATAGGGAGCGAAGGTTTTTTCCAGGACCCACCTACAGGAATCGATGCGAATTTGATGCCAAAAACTGGCAGCCTTAGCGGGTTCTTGTGAGCATCTAGTGGTGGCAGTGGGAATGGCGGAATGGGCGGACCAACATACGTTTGATGAAGCTCAGGGCGATACAGGCCAAGATGTTCTCCATGATGAAACCTATTTAGAAGATGGATAATGGGTTCATGTAAGAGGTGATTTGCATTGATTCCAATCATAAAATCCAGATGAGCGAATTGCGGGTCGGGAACAAGATAATCATAAACAATGGCATGATGGATCTCCTTTCGAAGAGTGCTTACGTCTTCTGGGGTAGCTAATCGGTCATTTTTTCCCCAGAACAGAGCAATGGGAGCCGTGATCTTATGGAGGGGATACCGAGGAGCATAGGAGGTTCCATATCGCCATATATTCTCCTTTTCCCCATAGTCAAAACGACAGAAATCCTTGCGATTGCGGTTCTGAAGTGCGCATACAAGCGGACAGATAAAAATATAGTGAAACACAAATAGAATGACAATAATATAGGTCATTGAATATGCTTTTATCCGCCCAACAGTTTAAAACTAGGGGGTGGAAGAGGGGGAATTATTAATCCCAAATTATCATAAGCAAGTTTACCAGTGTGATTACGAAGAATTGTTTAGACAAACAGTTTTATTTAATGTACATTTGAAATATTACGCACAAATAAACTATATATTAGTAGTGTCAATTGAGCTCTTACTTGATACGCGTAGCTGAAAAACCTTATTAAATATAAGGGACATTGTAGTTTAGAATAGTATAATCCATAAGGATGTTTTTCTCTCAATAATTTGTATCGAGTAATATATGTTTGTCAATGTCAAAGATCAACAAGCGAAGCTTTTACTAAGAAAGAAGAAAAACGATGCTGTGAATGATCCGAATTCACATGGTTCTAAAGAGTCTTGTTCAAATGCTGCTACCATAGTTAACCTTCATGTTGCTCACTGTCTTTTATAGCGGATATAATGGTAATCACACGAAATCGAGAAGCTAAACAGCTGATACGCGCATTCGCAAAAAGGGAGACAAATGAGTTATCGAATGATTCATTCCGGCAGTATACTGAACGATCGTTTAGGGGAAACCAGTCAAAGCAATGTAGTGGAGTCAACGTTTTTTTATTTTTCTAAAAAATTCTACGCCAACGGGTAAAATTCGACAAGGTGAAGAGCTCTACTGGATTAATGTAGAGTAGAATGTACATAAAGATGGCTATACAGAGCATTCGTGAAAATTAATACTGAGAGGACTTCTTCAGTAAAACGGAAAATCTTCTAAGTGGAATCTAACGAAAACAAATATACCCATTACAAGTTTACCTTTGGAGGAAGCTAACGCTACTTAGTTTTAAGGACGATAAGAGGCGATATTCACTTACCTGAGCCATATGAACGAGATTTTTCGTTGAAGTTCCTGAAGGCATATGAGCCATATAGACGGGAATCCGGGTCTGAAAACCGCCAACATACATTTACATACATGCGAGTTAAATCAAGAATACAAATAGTGATGATCATGATGATTGTTACTATTATCGCACGACAAACTATAAAAAGAACAAATATCTACAACATCTTCAATAAAGCATAGCAAATACAGTCAATAATATCGGGCACTTCTAATGAAAGTACGAATACTAATTTGGGATCTAGATTTAAAAGTTACTTATCGGTTCTATTGCTGTAATGTAAATAAATAAAATCAATTCCCAATTATTATAGATTTAGTCTGAATTTCCGTTTTTAGATAGTCGCGACAGATCCATGGATAAGGTTTCTGTTATCGTCCCTAGTTTTAGAACGTCTTTAACATTAAAGCAAAGTAAACGAACTCGATCGCACACTGGCCTCTCTTAGCTCGTAAAAAGAGACTTATCAAACAGTGCTATTGTTCATATGAATTAACACACAGACCCATAATAAACAAAGCCAAAATTGATCTGATGGCCTAAAAAAGTCGAACTATTCTATTAAATACAATAGCGACGATGAACTGTTCTTAGCCCATCTGCTATAGCTCATCTGAGACTGACACAATGTTCAAATGGCAACTCCGCGAATATAAAACGTGTAATGCATTGAGTCATAGCTTTACGTACCCTATTGAGCTGATGGGGGCTTATGCCGACGCCCATGGTAACGGGCATGTAGCATAAAGCTCGAATATGTGAGTTGCAAAGATGATGGTACAGGGTCCGCGATGTTCGGGACGATGGAAATATTCCGCCACCATTAAAGAGATCGACAGTTGTCTAAAATATACATAATTTTTTCAGAACAATTATTTAATGGCGACCGCGTGTATCCCATAACCCATGCAACGAAGAATAAACATCCAATCTCGAAGAGTTCCGTCTTATTCCCTAGTTGGTGAAGGTGAAAATAGTTAATGTTAGCCCTCCAGACCAATGAAGCCTTTGGTTAACAGCGAACACGATGGTAGGACCAATGACATAAAAAAAATGACTCTTGCCTGCATTCTTATTGCTGACTTATAATGTAAAGCTTGGTACGGTTTTACACAAAAACACAAAAAATTTAGTTATTATTATTATTATTATTTATAAGGCAGGAGTGCTTTGGTGTTTACCTCAGCTACGCCCCACAGCAATTATTACTGTGAATTATCAGAATTTTGCAGGCATTCCACATTCGTTCTTTAAGAAAGAATAGTTCCACGGATGTCAGAGGATGGCTTTCATCGTAGTATCGATGGACTTTGTTTGCTAATCACGCTTAGGGCGTCACGTCTACAGCTAATTAGGTGTGCACATGCTTTCAGGGATTCTTTGGGGACATTTATCATTAACAATTGCAAGAAAATTAGAACACATCGTCATACCAGTTATAACGTATGTGATTGATGGGCCTTCAACCTGTAAATTCGTTGCTAGCAAAATACCTGTTCACTTGGCTAGGTAAAGTAATCTAATCCGTTAGCTTCAGAGGTGGCAGTATCTCGAAATTCTCGGCATGCGTTGGCCGGACTTTACAGACTTATTCAGTGACGTGTGTCTGTTAGCCCCGATAATATCAAACGTATTCTAACAGTAGGATAAAAGTCTATAATATGCTAGTTCAATCTATCGTTAACTTCATACCCTGTGTTAAGCCTTTAAATAGCTTGCAGCTTTGTCTGACGTTCGATAATACATACTCGTAACAAATACGCTATTCTTTTATTGGAAAAGCTTTACCGGTGTTACCCGTTCAGCCCGCCCAACGATCATCAACACTGTTATTAGTGCCTGCCTGCCTGCCTGCCTATGAGCTCCTATTAAGTATGGCGCTACTTAAGCCTCACAGGCAGAAAAAGGCTGTTGCTATCATCTTCTAGCTGCCGTTGGCACAACGATCCGATTCCTTCATTTTTGTGCCACCAGACCTAAAAATATTAAAAAAAAAAAGCGAACTCCCGACAGCCCAGTCGGGCAAACTGCCAAGCGTTCGCTTCTAATTGGAGCGAGATCAGAATGCTCCAAGACACGCATGGCCGACGTGCTGACGTCTATGACAGCTCAAAGCTCAAAACGCAACGCTCTTGTTTTGAAGTGACCGGCTGGGGGCGCGCTGAAGAACGGTGCGGTGCGCGAGTCAACAGGCCAAAGTGAACAAATTTATCCTGATCCATTCATCGAAACAAATCAGGCGAGAAGGTTTGGCAAATACTACCGGTGGTCCAAACGCTGGCGTCCCTTAGAGTCGTTTTGATTTGTTCACGATCATTACATGTTACGCAGGGCTGCCGTAAACTTTAATGAGTGTGCGTGTGTATTCGGGCATGCAGTGGAATATTTAGACAAGTGGAAAAAAAAAAAATAAGGACCACTATTGAAATTGTTAACTTTCTGAATTAGTCGTTTTGTCAAAGTCAGTGTTTTTGGTTGGTTCGAGGTCATCATGGACCAAGCATCGTTGCAAACAATATCTGTGATGACGCTCACGCACGTCACCCAATAACGATCCCATCGCTCCATATGAATATTGCTATACTCTGCGCTACATGTGCAATCACGCTGGCGTACACACAACGTGACCCCGACAGCAGACGCCACTTGCATCTTCACACTCTGTTTCCACGACCCGCACAACGTCCGACGTTACTGCTTATCAACAGAAACGTCCTGGCTGCTTAAGTCTAACGAGCGGCAACGGCGGTACGCCCGCCAACTTGGCGACCGTTAGTATCTCTGCCACCGTCTTCCTTGCTTGATACCACCGATTAGGAGCCTAGAAGTTCAATACTACAGATCAAAAGAAACTACAATGCTTTGAATAGCAACACTAAGCGCCGATATAATGACCGATTTCGCGGAATATTGGCTGCGTTAATTTTGATATTCATTTATACAGACTAAGGAGAACGAGAACTTTTGTTGGCATGTAACGTGCCATTTGGTAAAATACAACGTATCTGTGCCATAGAGCGATATAGTTAACCATACACGGCGAGCAAGCTCCACTGTGATGAGTCGTATAAAGTATTATGCGAGCGCGGTTACTTGCTATATCTTTATGTTTCACAACCGGTACTTAAACTTTTACGCATTAACCCAGGCGGGTGACACTCGCTACAATATAAAGCGTATCTATGTCTGCATTTAAACTTACACAATCGCCCGTTTTTGAGCTAAACATACAAAAACGTTACCCGCTGCACTACCACGGTACACTTATTATATCTATTCGACTGTTTATTTGTCCCAGTAAAATTTAGCTCAACTACTGCCTAACACCAAAAATCCTTACGCTCAACACTGAACAAAATACAGAGCTATATAACTTAATTTTTAAATGAAGCTATTGTTTTATACAGTTATACTTGACAACATTAGTGCTTTCCTGATTGATCGAACATAAAGATTCTATCGTGCCCACATAGACATAAAATGTACATATAAAAATGTATTATTTTTTTTTTAGAAATATTGTAGAGTATGCGATGATAAGATCTCAGTAAAAAATTTTAGGTCTCAGTAAAAACGAAGGCAGGTGCTATTGTGTATTGGAGTTCTACTTAAAGCATCGTAATTGAGACCAGGACCGCTAATCAGGACTAAAAGCCCAATGTTTGAGCTCATAATTTGTTTGATCAACATGGTTCGATGTTCGTTATATAATATGTACACCTATTCCAATACTCTAGTTTAACTATTAACATATACGATTGGGTAATAGGCCCTGTTGGCCTTAGGGCAGAATGATTGATATGATTTAAAAAAATATCTCCAACTAGTAAGATCGAAGATAATCTAACGTTTCAATATAAATAAGGATCAAAAAACCATTATGAAATCTTCTAGCTGCCGTGCAGCATCACTACTAGTCCCTTCAATTAAGTGAACCGTCTATTTTATCGAGCAAAATTTTCTTCTTCGGTCATAGCCATAATTGTTTTTTCCGGTTTCCCACGATTATCCTAAATGACAACTGAAGTTAAATAGAGATTAAATCGATCTTAGCCACCTCTGTAAGTCAGGTAACTTTGTTGGGAAAAGGGCACGTATTAAAAAAAAAAAACTCAGATGCTTACCGTGAATGACAGCGTAGGTATTCGAAGGAATGGAAAATATCAATTAGAGCAGCAGCTGTAACTTTTTCGGGATGGTGATTCGAGGAGCAACATTCACTCCGAATAAAAACAACCTCAGCGAAAGCACTAAGAGGGTTTCATACTAATTTTTGCCCAAAAAAGTTAGATGGCCCGCAAACAGCATTTGTCGATTTTCATTGAATCTACGTCTTTTTTCCACCGTAGATTCTGGATTCTGTTCTATTTCTTATGACAGCAAAAACGTATTGACGACATGCGAGCGGTCGTCTTTTAGTCATATGTGTGCTCTATTCCGGCGCAATAGAAAAAAAAACTGTATGTGTGCCTATGGAACAAGCCCAAAAGCTTCCTTTGTTTATGACTATCACAGCCCGTTTGCCTGTATGGTGACATGAATTCTCCGAAGCACGGATCGCGCAACCAGTACCAAATGAAAACCACACCCAAGGATACGAAACGCGACAGATTCCTTCTACAATCCCATTACGGAACAGAAAAACTAACACACAAATGGGTATAAACCGAGAACGTTTTAAGGGGTGCTTATGACGCGCATTATAAAAGAAAGAATTTGATAAAGAAAGGTATCTTTAAGAGGTTTATCTGCTAGAAAAGTGGTTTCTACTTTTTTCTACCGTAATGTACTCGGTTGTACCGACAGCTTTACAATAAAATATATATATATATATATATATATATATATATATATATATATATATATATATAGGGCCTCGTCTTCCAGAAGAAAACCTGAAGTTCCTTGCAATAAAAGGAGCGAATTCAGTTTTTGACACTGTCTGGTGTAACAATGTTATCCATTTTACAGGCAAAGAAGTACACAGTACGAAAACATACAAGCTTCATAGCAAAGCACGTTTTCATTTTTTCGGATTTAGAATTGTTACACTAACAAGCACAATTTTCTTTCTGTTCAGCAGAAACAATACGACACATTTTCGTCTGCACATTAGTTACCTAACTCTACCGATACAGAACATTTCCCCCGTAGCACGACATTAAGAAAGCTTGCAGCGAGCCACTCCCACCTTTCCTAGCTTTCTCAATGAGGGGGGGTGTATTTTAATTGAGACTTAACTAGTTCCTGCGCAAGTTGATTGGCGCTCAGTTTCTTAATATTAATGAAAGCGACAGGCCGAATCGTCGAAAATCAATTTGTCATACTTTTGAAAACCATATCCAAGATTATGCTGCGTAAAAACGGTGACAATAGTCGAACAGTACGTTCGTACTACGATCAGCTTGACTAAGCGGAGCGACTTCAGCGCCATTAGTTAGTACACGGCTGAGTAATGCTTTACATTATCGAGATACTTTCGAAGGTTATGCAGCCTCGCTGTCGTTCGCGTCGATTGTTATTAACGTTCATCGCAGCGAATTGTCGAAATTGACATTCTTTGCGGCTGTCGCAGTTGTCGTAAGGGAGGCCTCGCTTCCCATCCAGGCCACCGGAATCATCGGACCGCCGAAACATCGAAATCCAACCAGGCACCGAAATCATCTCTGACGATTGACGTGTTTGTTTGGGAAACCCCCTCGCCACCATGACTGCTGCATTGACGCAACGTTTTCAGCGATACGCAGACGTTAACATAACCATGCTATCACTTCACGAGCGTTACGTAGATCATTAAAATCGGCTGACAATTACGGTCTATAATTCTAGACTGTGTCCAACAATTTCCCTAATATCGCTATTTCTATTCCATAGGTTGTTGTGCGACACTTTGACTATTCGCCTGAGTTTCTTCTTCACAAGCAATTTTTTAGAAGACCTTATTTCTCTTCTCGTTTTGCAATCGCAAAGCTTTCGACCATGATAACACACAATCTGAGCCGGGGGCAGCCGATGGGGCTTTGCTCGCATTTCGTAGCATAGGCAATAGCGGTGTTTGTAGATCCATGTTGCGACCCGATGTGTGCTCGCTTGCAGAACAAAATCTGACCAACAGATTGACAGGTCGACGGCAGCTCAGTCCACAATATCTGGACAATAAGAAACACTAACGATGACTACAGCCTATTAGAAAGGCGCCGAGGCCGGCAGTGAGTTCTTGACGGTCAACCGTCCACCCCTGATGCAACCGCGTTGCCATCAAAAATGACATGACAGCTCGACAAGTGACACAAAAAATGGCAGGAATCATCGCGTGAACAGCTGGAAAAAGAACATCTGCTAGGAAACGAACAAGGCAAGCATTCGTCAGCCCATGTCTCGTGCCACGAAGTGACCAGCCGCTTTCCCCAGAATCTTTTCTCTTAGGCTATGTTTGCGGAATGACTTAGAGGAGCTAGCGTTCGCTGGTCGCTACCGTTCGATAAATGGCCAATGAAATTGTTCATACGATTCCTTGTCTTGTTGTTTTTTTTACGAAATCTTAGAATAGAAACTTCCTCTTTAATGCTAAGACCTTCTGTCGTCGCTGTTGCAACAAGCATGCTGTCATTACGGAAGTTTTTATTACAAAGTTCAGAGCCGATACATGAGATTGATAGATTGTTATAGATATTTGTCTTCATTGCGTTGAATCATTTGGTAAAAAGGGTAAACAAAAGTTTGATCCAGGCGCATCATACTCGTACGATTTGCTTTGACGCATAACGATCCGCTTTATATCGGCGACAACGTCAACATACTAGCTCACTATGGGATTTATATGTTCCGTTTGTTTTTGGATCTCATATATCGATATAGTTATCAAAAAGATATGTTACAAGATGCTAAACGTCTTTTATAATGATACTATTATTGTTATCGATAATTAGTCCTGAATCATAGGAGAACGACCGAATGAAGACAATAGCTCAGTATTGGTTGCTACGATTATAGCACCAAACATATCGCATTGCCAGTTATAATCCTGCGAGTCTGCTAGCCCAGCTAGCTCAGTAAAGGGCTAAAACTGATACAGTTTTATACACATAAAATTCTCGTCTACATGCACACTTATAGTACCCAAACCCAAAACAGAATTATTATATAGCAGCGATACTTATATAGAATAACGCTTTACGTTAGAGAGCGTCTCAGACTATTTCGCAATAGGATTGTCAAGGTAGCGGAAACACAGACGGTATATGTACCATCAACGTATATGTGTAATATAAAGGCTACTATTGTTGGCTACCAGCTCCGTAGGTTTTATAATACGGATATTGTATAAGGGTCGTGTCATTGAGAGTAAAATGAGCTAGTCAAGCCGACGATATAGAGTAGGTACTAACGCTGGTGGCAGAAGAAACACAACGAATGCACAAAGAAAACAATAAACTAGGAAAGGCCAGCTACAAGTGAAGCATGATGCCGAAAGAGTTGCAGGCCAGCATAGAAGCTCGAAGACAACATTTTCCACTCCTGACACAAAAAGAGCCAAACAAGGTCGTTTGGCTCAGGACAATACGAACGATTCATTGCTTTACTGACATTCTTGGGTCATAGCGCTGATTTATTCCCTCTCCATGAAGTCCTGCATACTTCAACTAGAACTAAAGTTTGCCTAGGCTATACACAGGTACGCTTTTCGTTTGTATCTGCATGGTTTAAGGCGCGCTGAGGACGGCTAGGCAAAGCTACTAGAGATTATCTTTTAGGTCGCCTATGGGAATGTTGAAAAATTAACAGAAATATGTATAAGAATCAAATGAATACGGACACGAAAACGATTATATGAATCTTGGTAATGTTGTTATCATATGTCGATATTAATGCGCTGCTTAAAATATGAGGCTGTGTTAGCAGTGCAACGATCTTTAGATTGTAATGTTTTTTTCTACTTGACATTAAGGCGTAAGAATTACAAGCTACACAGTGATATTAACACACTTTCTAAAAATATTATTTATAAGTACAAAAAAAAAAAGAGTCACAATGGAAATACTGAAATGCTCACACCTTTACCCATCATCGACTCTCATAAATAGGAATTGCTCAGAACTTTCTGATCGATTTGAGGAAAAATATGTGAGAAGTCAAATATGGGCTAGTACTTCCAATGCATAATGCTTTCGGGTCAACATAGTCTGAGTTGGGTTTCTGGGACGTTAAAATCTGATTTTATGTCAATATCCTTAATTATTAGTCAGTCTAACTGGTTGCAATCTTACGCATCATTTTCAATTTCCAATAGATTTTATAAGATGGTGATAACATAGATATAAGAAGAGAAAATATGACAGTCAGTACAGGATACAGGACGAGGATTTCTCCGGATATTTTTTAACTTGATTTCATATGAGAGCTCTTCAGCTTAGACATCACAAGCGATGACCACTTTAGCTAAATACCGATTTTGCCGTTTTGTCTACGAATAGGTGTTATATTCTTGTGTGAAGAAAGTCTACAAAGATGAGAAAGTAGTAGGAAATAAATCTTCAGATGTTTCGCGTCATATCTGGAGTAAGCTGTATCGTACCTTGATGATGCCTTTGAATGGAATGAACATGGTGATGGGTGAGTTGAGATGTGTTATATTCGCAACAGGTGCTAAAGCTACAAAAAGCTTCACCTACGACAAACAGAACCGTACAGATTTATGTCAGTCTTATGACAGAATTCTTCATCAATTTCTGCACGAACTAACCAAAAAAAAAAAACCATGTATATAGATTACGATCCTAAAGAGATAAACATCATCTACACCTGAATATATATATATATATATGTTAGAGGTCGTATGTAAATGGAGTATGGAACTTTTCTAATAAACTATGACTACTGCAAATTAAAAAATGATATGCATATAATGATAATACGACTCTGGTGAAGGCTAGTAATAACGTTGTAATGAGGTTTCTTCTTTCATTAAAAGAGAGACGCAAAAAACGCGTTCTAATAAACGTTGAATTATAGACTGGCTCAACTACTTCTATTAAATAAACGTAAACAGGCTTACTTCCACAAATACTCATAATTTTTTTTTTTTTTTCTCTATTTTAACAGGCTAAAGAGGGCCATAAACATTCTGAGCTTTGTCTTGTGGCCAATGATTTAAGCAAATTCTAAAAGTCTAAAGAAGTTTGCGCGTCTTAAAGTGGTTTCATTGTGAAGTCAGTAAACATATAATTTTATCATAGCTATCTATATTTCATTGTAATACACCGTTATATTAGATTCGAGTTATCAGTTATTATCGGCTAGGGAACAATGTCTTCTGGCAGCTGTTGATTACGGGTCTTCGGTTATGCAGCTGGCAATACGCTTGTAGAGACTACAGACGCTTATTTTTAACATAAGACGTTAATGAAATACTGAACTGTACACCGAACTATGAACAATTATCGTGAAGGCGTACCTTCGAAGAGCGTAAGGTGAAAACCACCTTACGTTCTTCGTAACCAAAGATGTAACAAAGAAGCCAGCTTCTAGTCTAGCAACGATATCGTGCCAACACGTAAGCATAAATATATACCAGCAATAATATGAATGCCTCGTTGGCTTGATGACTCTAGCGTGCGAGTAAATCTTGAAAAAAGATCAACGAAAATAAACCCAGACAAACCTTAGCGTTGTACTCTGGCCGTAGAGAAAGGGTGACGAAAATATCTGTTGAGCCTTGTGACCAGCCAATCAATGTTACTCGGTAAAATCCGGTGGAGCGGAGCACGAAATCAATCCCAGCAGTAACGTCAAACAGTCCAATGTCGTCGAACGAGTAGTCCCAATAGGCTGTGCTCCGCCTGTGCCGTTATGGAGGTAATTATCGATTATAGTTTACATAGAACAAAGCATGCACAGTCAGGACATATATACAATGCTACCGTAATAACTGCACGTGAAATAAAAAAATATCTATTAAAAGCAAAACGTGGATTCAAGGATTTCAATTGGGCCACACGTTTGCGTCTTTTGCCGTATTCTGGGTATACGATAACCGAGCTGCTTGTTACTTCAGCCTATTTACTTGAAGTGTGTATACCCACTGATCTCTTCTATTCATTTATCATTATAATTGTCAAGAGCTCAAGCTACGATTTAGCAAAATCTGTGGACGTGTCGATTGCTATGAGACCACTACTGGGCCTGAAGGAAACGTTATTTATAGAGAGTAAATACTCGCAAATGTTTTAGTATATGTTTATATCTATTAGCCAAACTAGGACATTCGCTAATTTACCAAAATAATCAGTTCTTTCATAGAGTTCTATGAGAACAGAAATGCTTATGGCTACCCACAAATGGAGTTCTGCGCTGGCTGACAATCTATTTTCATATTTGTACGGGGTGAATATGGTCCTGTACGAGGACGATTTTGTCGACACTTTGACGTTTAAAAAGATACTCGCAAAAGCTTGCCGAAAACCGAAACACATAGAACTCTTATATAAACCCAAGGGTCAAAATTAGCCAAAACAGATTCTTTATTCCTCCCGGCCTAGCCAATATCGACAGCCGGTGAAAAACGGGTTCCATCACCTTCTTACAAAACGCAAATGCTACGAACTCAATGAGGATTGTGTCTGCTATATGGTTCCAATAGCTACTTAATTAGACATATATTATATATACTTTTCAGTACATATTGTATATTTCAGATGTGAAACAAATGACGGAAAGGTACATGATGAATCATGTTATGTTAGATATGAAAACGCCAGAAAACTCACATATAAGCATATAACTTACAGATCATCAAGACGTACCCATGATCAGAGGCGAAGTTTTTATTTAACTAGTGTAATATTAAATAAATGGGTCGTGTTTTTTAGTAGTCGACCTTAAGCCTGCGGCATTTTTGATCGCTAGAGTGTCTGTACACTGTTTTCTTAGTAGGATGGCCTGTTTTCTTTTATTATATCTTAGTAATTTACAAGCAGTGGGCAGACTTGCTATTTAAATAAGACCTGTGGCATACTTCTGATGTTTGAGGTGTCTTGAGTAGGGCGTCCCGCGTGTGTTGAGGAGCCAGACGTCGTAGCCAGCATCAGATAAAAGAAAGCCAGGGGAGTTCCACGGATAATTAAGAACCCAGTCATCCGCTGATGATATAATACCTGAGAGAGAAAGTTCGAAAAGTTTGGTCTTACGCTGTATTATAGCCATATGCTATTCTGGTACAGTGAAGCTTAGCAAAGTATTTTACGAAGACAGAATAGTCGGAGTTCTCCAAGGATGTGTAACAATAGTTAGTCTGTTAGCGTAGACAATGGAGTGGGAGACTTTCTTCGTCATTTATTATGTATTCGAAAATCGAGGCTTTACGTTACAGCCGCAGTCTGATATCCCGCATTACCAAACGAAATTTCATTACGATGCAGACACACAGTTCGCAAGATCAATTGCAATATATATATAGGTGTGTATATATATTAGTTGGTATCTGGTTCAATCCATATGGTCATCAATTTGATTCAAGTGTATTATTTCGCCGTGAATCAAAAGATTTAAATGGCAATATATACTTGTGCAGAATATAACACACGGATGTGTAAATGCGAAATTCTAACGATTTTTGCATTGATTATTATATGACACAACAATTTTCGTTGTACAAACCATGAACAAGTAGAACGGGCGGTCCAGGTCTGGTCTTGAACGCTTTGGGTATTCCTCGCGATAATGGGATCCGTACGAGACTTAACAAGTAGCCATCCTTCGTTAATACAGGATACTGTTCCACTGGATATCGAAACTTCCGGATTAAGCCGACCTGGATTTGTATTGATTTGACCAAAACGAAGGAACAAAGTAACTTCACTTCGCAGCCCCCACAAAGGAGACATCTCATACAATTATCTTCTTCTAATCATCAGACGTCGCTAAGTTATACGAATGTTAAATGGCTGTATTTCTTGTCTTTGTTCGGATTTAGAAAGGCAAGCATTTTAGAGCATTCTTAGCGCTTTCATTAGGCGACGAGCAGTATTTAATTATACGGCCTTGCTCAACGCACACACATATAAACATATCTAGATAGAGATAAATTAAGCTAAGCGAAGATAGAAATGTATTAAAAAAAGAATTGCTCGCTACTATGAGCTACAATGACATGAATAAATTCCAATCTAATTACACGTTCAAATAAATAATTCTGCCTCTCTTTCTTTACGTTTTTCTAAGGTCGTGATTTTCAATACGCTCAATACGCTCAATGACTCAATACGCTCTTCCATCTAAATTATCGCTCTAGAAACTGGTAAGTTTTTTTAAGGCCCCAATGGTACTTGCGTAAAGAAATAGCCTCGAGCAGGTATTTGATTTTGACAAGAAATCAAGATCGTCACTTGACAGTATAGCTATTCCTGGTTTTCCTCTTATCGGTGAGCTTGAATCTTCTATTTTTATAGTAAGCCGTAAACACTTTCTCATGAACCGCAGTACGCTCGACAGTAGTATCAGAAATTATACTGAATAAGCACATACGAGTAAGAGTCAAGCCAAAATCTAATGTTCTGCTACATAGGTTATGACGAGATGAAAACCACCAGTTTCGTCGATGGTGGCCTTCGCTAGATTCAGCCAGCTGCCTTCTGTTTGCAAGTGTTTTGTTATTTCGGCCACGATAGGGGCGTCTATCAATCTGTGTTCGCATACGCACTCATCTAAGTAAAAGGGCACATTCAACTGTGAGGACGTCGCTTCGTGGCCTTCGTCAATGGTGGATCGTCAGGACTGGCGCTGACGAAACGCACACAAAAATCGATTATATATAGAATGGTAAACAAGACGGAATCGACTGCAAAAAGGCAGTTGCAACAAGATGACAAAGCAAATGTATAAAACAATACAGCGAACGAAGAATTCAATAGATGGCGGAGGAGATGTAAACGAGGGAACAGTTTAAAATGCCCGCGTTGACAGAACTAGGACGTCATCGAAGCTAAATAGCAAGTATGATTTCCTACGGACGTATGTGCAGTTAGGGTATGCGCCTGGTGAAGCTGGACCAACGGCAAGTTTTCCTAGCGGATCCTTCCAAACAGCTGCATGCTATACTACTTCCTTTTCCTTTTTTACAGTGCAATAATTACAGACCTTAGGGCAAGCTATAAGATGAAGACAAGCTGTATTCATAAGATTGAATTGTTCGCAAGATGAACTTGTAGATAAGAGCCAATAATTTTATAGCAATTCTATTTTTCCCAGCAAGCACATCATTGCGTACTTCTCATAGGCAGCTCAGACGCAAGATTCACGTCACCACTTTCGATCGACGATTGAGACACTTGTTGACGCGGGCGGTCACAGCTGACAGGTGAAAACCGACAGAAAACAGCGCATGAAGCATGCGGGGGTTCTGTTGAAGTGTGTTGATCTGTGTCACGATTTGCCTTCATTGTATAGCTAGCTAGCCAGCCAGCCAGCCAGCCAGCCAAGTCGACATGCTGGTGGCATTAGAAAGCTTATCGACTGAACGATACCGATTTAGGCCAGTTTGTGGCTGTGCATTGATTCATCTAACGACTGAATAGCTGAAATGGCATGGTAACAGCCGCAGATACGAGCAGACAATATCACCTCTACCATCATTCCACGTAGCTGAGCTTTTCGATAGAGGGAAAAGAGAAGCGTCCGAAACGTATTTTGATATCTCGTTCAAGGTCTTTAATTGTTTTTAGGAACGTCTAGAATTTTTTGGTAAACACTGGGTTACCGTCTGGAGCCGGTAGCGTACAGGTAACGTTTGCATAGCGAGCTACTTGAGGTGTGATATGTTCAATTTGCGGGTAGTTACTTGTTAGTTATCTCCCATAACTAACCCATAAGTCGTATTGCTAAACTATCCGACATCTGCCGATTATAAAAAAATCTAATTTTACTACGATAGGTCGCTCGTTGTCTGCCTTCGTATAGATACGTGTAGTATCTGCGATTTACGGAGATCATAACAGCGAATTCCTACGGCCAACAGAACAAGTTCAAGCACGTAGTTCGTTCTCCGTAGTCCACGTGGGCAAACAATTGGGCTTATTTCTGATGATGAGTTCGTCAGTTAATTCGTGGTTTTGTTTTGAATTTCAATTAATCTTTTTAGATTGAATTAGATTTAAAATTAGAACAGCAATTTTTAATAGGTTAACTCGTTAGATTATCCCAGGAAGGAGCTTCAGTGCGACGGCCGAGACCGTTTGGTATCAGTACTACGCCAAATGGTTGCAAATAATTTTTGCGCTGATTATTATTATAACAGTACCTTCAATTCAAATTAGGAAGAAAACGAACTCACATCAGAGATGAGCGTGATTAAATCTAGAACGTTTCGAATTTACCTACTTTAATGCCGTGACAGCAAAAGCTTCCCAAGTAATTGTTGTTCCGTAGATCGCGGTTCGACACTAACTGAAAAATTGTTGTTGTATCAGATGCGACATCAAGTTAATTATTACATTTAGCGTACTGCAAGTTAGACATAAACATGTTCATGCGATATTAGTGCAGAAAACACTATATACTAGGGGTTAGGATTTTCTCCGAACGTTTCGCGTCGGCTCTCCTCGACCTAATGTCGAGTAATGTACGTACGTCGTCTGACACAAGCGTAAGTGTAGCGCAGTAAGTACAAAACAGAATGCAATTAGGTAGCCGACGCCATTCACTATATCGCTTCCGACTTGCTCTGTTAAGCGGAAACTTAACTCTGTCGATGATCAGATCACCTTTTACTGCCGGTTCAACGTTAACAGAATTAGTGACCGTCGAACGAGCATGCTGTCTTAGCGATGGTGGATACCCTGAGCAGATTGTTTGCGGTAGAGCCCACAATATCGTCAGCTTTTGATGTGTCCGGCACGTAACATACCCCGGCTGTCGATGTGTGGCGCACAAGACTCGAGTCTGCATGCATTGCAAATGATGCAAGTAACTTTGGAAGTAGTAACGCAAGCGACAAGAAGTTCGCCGGCCAAAGCTAGCAGCAACTGCAGCCCTATAAGTTACTTGGCATTCAGAAAAAGCTGAGCGTTCATCGAACCGATGGTTCGTCTTACTTCCCATAGATAGGACTTTCGCGAGCAAGACAATTGTTTATCACCTTTATTGCTATCGATCGCTTTCATAGCACTATGTTGTTTCTAATCTACCTGCTTTGAACAAGAAGTTGCGGTGCTCGTCGGTAGTGGTTCTTTTAAGTGTCAAAGGATCCGTGTTTTTTGTATCGGTTAGTTCGCCGGCCGCGAGCTGCGTCCGGTCTCATCTATATATGCCCAAAAGCCGAAAGAAGAAGGGAAACGTAAAAGCATCTGCTTTCATTACCCGTCATAGTAATCAATTTCTACTTTATATAATTGTCGTTCAGAAAATTATAAGTGCACAAAAGAAGCTGTAAAGACATCGTAGCCGCCGCAGCCCTCCGATAAAGAATCGACACGTTCGAAAGCTTGACTCGTTCACAGTGTTTACCTCAACGTAGTTACCGTTGTATGGGCCGAGAAAGTACCATAGCGAGCACAAGTACGCGGTCATTTTGAATGTAACTTACGAAACCGCTTGATGGTACTGCTATATGTACTGCTGCGAGCCACATTCATTTTCAAGCAAAGCGCTGGCTGTGATGTTGAATTATTTAGACAGTAGACCACTTATGAGTTACTTAACGGTGCGTATAGCGAACTGTATAACATCACGCCGTCCACAATAGCGCATCTCAAGTTCGATTACTTCGCTGTCTGTCAGTCTATCACGGACTGTCACGCGGCGTTCTATAGGCATCTGCGTTATTTGCAGAAAAAGACTAAGGCCACGCCGCACGCCCGCCCATACTGGGCCTATCCATTGACCTATTCTCGTGGATGATCTAACGACAAACGGAACAGCGACAACGAAAAGGGAACTGGGAAGAAATCGTCAGTCGCAAGGCAAAATGACGAATGGCTTTACGTGTCTACGAATGAAAAACAGTTACGTCTGTATCGTAGGGCCGAACTGAGGGCGATGACTCAAGAACACGAACCAGAGTGGCAAGCAGCTCTCACCACGGTAACGTGACGAAAAATAGACGCTTTTTAATTGTAATAGCAGCATCGCTCTAAGTTTCACGACGAGAAAATGTACACGTTAGAACAAAGCGTCATACAGCGCATTTAAAAGGTTCTAATGGTTTAGGTTTACCCCCCATCCCCTCTAGTATGAAGCATGCGACCGGCCCGCGTTAGTAACCTTTGTGGTCGGGTCGACGTAGACGCTTTGTAAATACGGCCTAAAAGAAAGCAAGCCCTTTAGGACCGCTTGATTGGCTAAAGCTGTACGATAGTTTGCTAACTCGGTCACCGTCGACGTAAGTCTGAGTTTTCTACTTGCCAATGTGCCGTCATCAATGTCTCTATAACCCGTTAACGTTCGAACAGAGAATCTAATTGATTTGACCTCTACATGAGAAGTAAACAGGTCCAATTTTTGCCGATTGAGTGATACAAATTGGAATAAGTCTGACTGATTGATTCGATCAAGCTGGAAACTATAGCACATTATTTGGTTGTTGGATAAAACGAAATGGATCTACAGAAAAGATGTAAAATATGTGACATATAGCGTACCGTATTAATTTTCCTTTCTTCTAAGCGCGTTCTTTTTGGCCGCGTGAAAAGTTCGCAGGTAGCTTTTGCATAAGAGACATTTCTATGTCATGCCTTTAACATATCATCGAAAAACACTGGGTGTTTAAGTTTCAATCAAATAGGAGATATCGGGGTGAAGTCAAACTCAAGTACGAGTACATTTACCTATTTTGTAAAGTCGCTGGAATTTGCTAAAATCGCAAGATCGACGCAGCTCCTAAGCTTATACCAGTAATAGATCCTAACTGGTTAGCACGAGATCGACTCGAGTGTTCTAGTTATTACCAAATAACCGAAATCAAATACCCGGTACAATATCCTTATGGCGACGGCGCTATAATGGAACCCCAGTAATTGCCGGCAGCGTCAGCATGATCTACTATCGTGTAAAGAGGAAAACGCCGTGGATTTATCGCGCCCTTGGGAAGTATCTCGTCTCAGCCAATAGCTCCGTTTAATATTGAACAAGGAGCTGTTATATAATCAAATAGGGGCGCTACAAGAAAAATAGTAAGCCAGTCACGACCGGCATAACGAGCTTGCGATGAATCGAAATATCAGAGGATAGGGGCGTTCCGATCAGACGCGTGCGGAAGCTGAATGAACTCGCTCATAATGCCCAAGACCTTGAACGAGCTGGAAATGCAGTTTAAGTTAGAAAGATAGTAGCAGCTCGAAATAGTCATATTACCGTACTGTTAATGTTTAGCTCAGGGTCATTAGGTGTCAGCTAGACTTTCCTTTGTTGACAGACATATATAATTTTATTGTAATTTTCGAATTTAAATTCTATTGTAGGATAAAGCTAACTAATAACGCTCCAAGAGTGTTCCGAATCTAGGCAAAAAGGTAATTATATGAAGAAATTCCTTTAGGTCCATCTTGCTGTTATTTCTAATTGGCCCCATCTAGAGTCTTGTCATATTATCTCGTGCATCTGTGTCCTAAAGTAACGATAAGCAAAAATTGTTGTTATACTAGTGATTAATCGCTTAGCATTCATTGTATTTGCCTCTAACGGATTGATGGTATCCATCACTGGAAACGCAATGATCGGTTTAATCCCTTTGCATTACGTTATACGTATCAGCCAGCATTTGGCAATTGGAGATTACTTGATCATCAGCTAGGTTTTATGGATCCATACTTTCAATTCGATATGGTGTCAGGAAACGAAGTACGTCAAATCTTGCATTCAAAAACGAGTCGTTTTTGCCCACTAGACACGTACGTTACCAGTGTATATTTGTGACAGATTTTTCCGTGAAACATTTTTATTTACTAGCCTACATCACATGTGTGGGTAGGAGGGATTTTGATTATATTGTTGTACAATGCCATCTTCAAAGTGATTCGCAAACAAGTCCGGATTCGAAGCCGAAAATTCACTGCAAGAATGTGCTGACAGTAGATGAGGGCGTTCAACCGCGGCGGACGCTTTATGTATATTTTTCTTTTGATGTATGGCACTGCTTGACGTTACCGTTACGGTGAAAGTCACTGAAGTGGCTAAAAGCCACTAGTGTGATGGTCCGCCGATCACTTGGGCTTTACTTCCTGCTGGGTCGTCGTCCTCTTAAAGCTGATTGCATACGACCCTTCCGTAAACCTCTGTTCACCGTATATGTTACTGTACATTTATTTCTATGTTTTAGCTACTGTCAACTTTACCTTTACTCAAACTCGCCTGGCACGAGGGAAGAAGGTCTTGACTGCGTGAAAAAACGCAGAATTTTCAATTATGTTAGTGTGTGCGAAAGAGTCCTCTTGCCAGTATATTGGTTTAACGTTTACTTTTGTCAACAGCTTCAGTTACTGACAGGAGATTGCAGAATCGAGCATGAAGAAGCATCTAAATGGTTGCCGTAGCAGCTTTCATCACTATCGATTGATGACCGAAATGTATTTTAACCGGCGTTATACATGCTTGCAATGCGTTTTGTAAAAATATTTCTTTCTAAGTAATCGGTACATTGATTGTATAGTCACACGTGCCCAGCACAAGCGAGTTTCATTCATTGGCTCTAGTCGAACGAAGAGGCAAATTACTGGTATATATTCTATAGTAGGATTGCGCGTGACGGCCATATCAGCTCCAGCCTAATAACAACAGATACATACTATCAGGTTTTTATCTTGAGATAGTATTTTTTCAAACCTTAATGGATGTGTAAAATGTGTATCTTTTACAAAGATCACATTAAAGGCCATAGGTATTGAGATGGCATAATCTAGGCAATAAACGCACTGCTGCCAATAAGTAGAAACTGATCTGCTACGAGTATCGTATGATGGGGTTATTCAATTAGATCGTCATCGAATTGTCCCGAAATGACTAAACACTTTCCGTCTCTTTACAATAATCTAAAGGAAGCAAGTTGGAAGATGTGTCTTCGTCGAATTGAAGAGAGCCCAACCAAGCCTAGGACGCTTGTTTGAATTTGGACATCCGCGTATTTCTTCATAGTTTCGAAGCAGTCCAATGTAACAATCACGGTCATTACGAGGTGAGTCATTGATCTGTTGAGGCACGATCCTCCGAGGAGTGAACAAAAGGAAAAAACTTGTATGACCCCGTGTGAGCCTCTTGATGTATGAGTCACGGAAGAAACAATTTTTTATATTTACTACCAGGTGAACCATAATCTATCGGTATGTACATGTTTAGAGTTTGTGTTTTGATAAATGTGTATATAATTATTTCCGACAATGCGTGTCCTGAACGGCCATTTTTGTCAAGATCCGTCCCGCATGTGATTTTCCCTTTCAGATTCCATGTGCCGCCGTTAACGATTGGTTCAGGTGCAGGACATGGTTATAGGTGGGGGGCGGGGGGGGGGGGTAGTCGCACGAGAAAATGCTCCGCTTTGCTATGAATAAATACTATGTGCGTTGTATTATATTCATCGCCTTATGGATGACTTCGCGCCGTGTGGTTCGCCTTCCTGTTAATGTTTTGCGTCATCGATCTACGACACTGGTCTTACCGTACCTACACCGATACAAACAAAAAAACGCATTTGAGTACCCTAAGCAGAATTCGATTGATTCGCCCTCGTGAAAACGGAATTTTGATAATTCTCGACGAATCTGTTCGTGCCATCATTGCTTAGTACTGCAAAAGCTGCCAGAGCTTCTCTGGGGTCTACGTATCAAAAGATCTTCGATCAAATGGCTGCCAGCGCTGCCGATGTCGAATTGTCTTTATCTTCAGCTTTTGATTAGATTTTTTTTTTACATTTTCCACTTTTGCCGCTTGTATTGCTTTTGTTGTTCCTATATTTCGACACCATGACTCTTTCGCTACGGACGCTACAACTTTGATAAGAACAATGCTTTTTTGAAACAGGAATCCTCGTGCAGCTTTGCGATGCCACCGTAATAACGCCACTGTACCCCTTTAATATTGATACGATCACATTCATGGCCGAGTAAAATGCCACAGCCAGGTAGGAGTACGCGGAGCAAACATTCGGCATCAGCAGCAGCAGCAGCAGAGAACTAGCGGGGTAAGAATTGTTTCGAACAATGCAAACCCCCGCAGAGATCAACTAGCCCCTGCCGCAAGTAAAGGCAGATGAAATCGGCCCAGCGTTTATGGGGTCGACCGTATCTATGAAACGTCTTCTCGACGTTGCTGTCTTTCCGTTATCGCCACTGCTGCTTCCTTTTTGGCTACGGCCGTCGGCGCCGCAGCTTTCTAACCCTCATCCTGTGGCACCGACGTATCAATTAATCATGTTCGCTCAATAATAAATAGTCCAACAAGACGGCCATCGCCGCCGGATTAGACGTTTACGATTTCATCCTGTCACTTTGTCGTTCATTCTCGTAGAATGAACTCATCCTGCGCAAGACAAGCAAGGGACAGAGAGCGCCTGTGCGGGTGTGGAAAATAATAAACGAGTGGGTTTGTGGTGACGCACAGGCAAAACGAAGGCCGTGTAGTAAGGTAACGGTAATTACAGCGCGAACGTTATGGCGCACCGACTGGAGAGAAAAGCACCGCGAACTGTTTGATGCAGTTCAGCTTCTGCTATTGCTGTTGTGATGGCTGCAATATAATCAAAATGAAATACGTGCGTGAACGTATTTGATACAAACCGTTGTTCTTTTACCTTCATTTTCCAGAGAAAAGGGAATAATAATGGCAGAGGATGAAGTCGCGGCCCCAGTAGAGAAATATCTGCCGCAGATGATTTCTTTCGCCTTAATTTATAAAGCGATAACGATCGATTGTGTGCAGATATAATTGGATAATATCCTTTAACTAGATAGCAAACGACGGATATTGGGCAACAGTTGTACGTAGTACCAAACGTGATCTCATTAACGATACTAATAGTCACAATAAAGTGATTCGTAGCAGTAAGGACAGTAGACGTACATTGATGACAAAACATGCCCTAAGTGTTGCGTGTGAATAAACCTACCGCTGTATTGCGTAATGTCTATAAACGCCCTCCAAAGCCTAACTCAAGTGGTCAGTGTGTCACTATGATCAAGATGGCGAGGCCCATCCCAGGCTGAGACCTAAACTACATCGTACGGTATTCTTTAGGGGCTAGGAAAACTGTAAGAGCATCCATTTCTGATGTACACATTTCGAAGTGTACTAAATGGCAGTACAGGTGCCTTCATGTTTTAGATATTGCGCCACGCAGGCGACCGCTTCGAGAGTTCCCCACAAGTAATGGAAGTTTTCTTTGTTAAATATAAGCGTTCAGTTGTAAAAAACTAGTCCCTACGAATTTGTCCCATGAACGAAGCTGTTATGGTTTGGGTGCCTCGCGGCAAATTTCTCGTTTAACACATTCAACGTTCCGAATGCGCAATGGCCAATGGCACCGTTCTGTTGTCCAGGTTAAACAGATTAGTTAGGACTACAGAAGGTTTTTTACCTGAAGGGCTACTATCACCCAAGTCAAAGAGCGATTTAATGAAACGCTGCTCGTGAATGACGTGTGCGTTCCTGCATCGCGCCTAGAGAGCCTGAACAAATACGTACATAGGTGTTTTAAACCTCCGCTCCGTTAAAATACCGCTCAGATATCGGTCCTAGAAAATGCAGAGTATCTTCCATACCGCCAAGTTCGTGGTTCTATGTATACGTGCGCAATAGCGTTTAGTGACAGAGGAAATCGTTTCGTAAAGAAAGTAAGGCAGCTTCAATCACCCGATTCAATATCATGACACACACCATTCTCTGACTCTGGTTTTTGTGAATAGTTTTCACTGACCCCTTGGTTACGAGGCAATCATTCGCATCAAGTTGATATATCAAAAAACGATTATCATTCATAGGAATAACAGCGCCCTACAAGGCTGGCTCCTCTCGTCCGGATATCAACTTCGTCAAAGCATGATAGATAATCACGTAACATAGTTCCCTGGTTTGCATCTGAATCTGGCAATAGATTATCTTACGGTTTCCAGCACGTTATGGGGCAAGTAACTGTTACGCAATCAACCATAGTAAGCGTACCGAAGGCAAATACAGATTCAAATTATTAGTTAGATATGAGCGAGATGCACACGTATCTAATTTAACAGTTATCATGATTTAATCTTGCAAGCCAAGTCTTTGCTCGGAACTATAAATTTTTCTTTGTTTTTCAAAGTACAGAGTATAGTCATCAGTATAACAGCTTCTGCACTTACAAGCCTGTGATTCATCCTCGCGTCGATCAAGTTCGCGCCCTCTACGTGACCACCTCAGCAAGCATTCATTCTATGCTATCTTGGACACATAAAAGGATAGCAGAAGGCAAGCGATTAGCGGCTAGACGGGAAGGAATCCCAGCTAACATCCGTCGTTAGCATTGTTTAGAGCAATGTTTCACAGCAGGGACCTAAACATGCAGCAGGCGATTGTGTCCACACAGGGTTACTCTGGCTGTAGAAAGCATCCCATAGACTGCGCTTTCGAGCACGGCAGAACTAGAGGGGAAAAAAAAAACTATACATTATTATCTAACAGATAAGGCGGAGAGAATTAAGCCGAAAAATCTGTTTCAGTGCAGGACCAAAGGCGATATTGCTTTAAGACATCCAACGATGATTTTCCCGACCGTTTGATTCTGACGAATATTGACAGCTCTGCGCTGAACAGTCGCAAAAACAAGAGCGAAATAATGTAGAAATAAGAGTTGTATCATCGGGCGCAATCTCACTTCAGCTCCACCTTTGTCAGAACCATTTTGACAATAAGCTTATTCGGGTAACACACTCTTACCGTATATTCCATGTGCCTTCGTTTTCGTTTTCCGCTAGATTTGCACATTGCTAGAACGATTTGTTTTCGCCCTCGTTGGCGACCCACACGTTTCTGGACCCACGCAGACAGCAGTAAAATGAGCACCGAATTGTACCAGAGCAAAAACGTTATGCAGCTGGCGCCGACGATCGTCACTGGAAGCAACTATAGCCACAGCATTCGATAGACTGCGCAGAAGGCAACTGTTGTTATACAGCGTCTGGGAAGGTTCCGATTACCTCCTCAGGGTAACAGTAACCCCGAGAGATCGACCTATTGCAATGCGGAATCTGTATAAAGCGGAAGTCCGTATATGGCATTAGTCTGGTTCGAAACCCAATTATGAAAAAACGAACTGTTCACTTTGTAGTATAGAAGCAGGTGACCATTTTGAGACAATCGTTGTTTAATTCGTGTGATTGAGGCAGTGATCTACTATGGACGATAAAAAACAGTCGTTGCTTCAGGAGGGCTAAAGCACAGTACAGCAGACTAAAAATAATGAACTCGGCAGATGCAATATCCCACGTTTACAAATGGACCTAAATAATTTAAAGGAAAAGAGGTTACAACGTAAAAGCAGGTAAGAGGTTGGTCGCATGTTAGCACGTGGCACTCACTTTGTCTGATTTTGCAGTATTTGGGCCCAACAAACCAGATATAGCCTTTAAAGTTGATTTTTTAGTCTTAAAAAATCTCAGCTTTGTTCAGACGTCTTGATACGAATTAATAGGTTCTTAGTACATTTGCCCCATTCATTCGGCATTAGACATAATAAAAATTTAATGAATATGCTGTGCTAATATGCAGATTTGCTTAAGACAAATGCGAGCCGCTTAGTAAAGATCGACTTAAAATTTCAAGGTGGCCAAATTTGCACAGTAAGTTACATAGGCCCACAAGTTAATCACTTGTTGTGATAAAAAGCCAGTGATCGGTTATCGCTCAGAGCCTACCATCGGCAAACGCTACATCATATGTATGATGAAGTAAATGATGCATATTCGTTCTAAGGTATCTCATCAGTAGACCGTTCGATGGCCAGAAAGTTTTTTTTTCCACTGTGCAATGGAACTCTAAGTTACTACTACTATTGACAAACGAACAAACTGTACAGCTTTTTTTTGCATAATTGGTCAAGTATAGTAAACCTGATATAAATTTTTATATGGGCTTCTGCCCATTATTGATTTATTTCACTTATTCAACCTCGTTGCATCAAACATAATGATTTGCACTTTTATAGAACTTCATTAAGTGCAACAATACAATGTACGACTATCCTATTATGGGGCCTTCAGAGAGGCAAGCCCAACAAATAACTGTATTTATGCGTGAAAAATTTGTTAGATTTTTTAAACAGCTTTATCTGTGCCTGGCGCTGTACAGGTACAATGCTGACGGAGAGCAAAACCCTGATATTGAACTAAGGCTAGAATAATGAAAAACAGACCAGCTAATTCAATGAACCGTACTACTTACGCCAATGCTTATAGATGCGCAAAAAATCCAAAGTTTTCGGAACATTGGATGACAATCAGAGGTAGTGTTTGTACGAATTTACCTTTATGACACCCATAATGACATAAAAACACTTAGTATATTCCGAAACGTCATAAACACTAAATCTATGCTAATCTTTATGTGCTTTTTTCCAGCCTGATTGCTTACTTACCCGTTGAATATCTAGCGTCTAGACGTACATTTGACCTATACGGGGATTTTATCGCAACGTACTGAACACCATAGAATTGGATATGAGATATGCTATTGGGTGTATGTACATTGGTACGTGCATTGCAACCGGACGGATGAAGAAAGCTTCCGTTTCGGTCAACGCTAAAAGTACGTATGATATCCCTGTGAAGGATGCACAGGCTTTGAGCCTGTAGACTTGCATCGTTGTCGTCTAGAACGTAACGTACGTATATTTTGTCTTTCTCTTACAGTACAAAAGAATTCACTAATATGATATTTCTCAAAATTTGGGTGACAGCGAAGCTTGATCGACGATTACGAAAATGACATAACAGCCCGTGAATACACATAATAGGCTTAGCAAAACGCAGCAGTCGCAACAAATAAATTCAATATCCTTTTTTCGCTGCCTCAACGTCAACAGCCTTACCGCGAGCCTTACAGAGCTACCTGTACCTAAGGCTGTTATGTAATGCCAGTAATAATAGCTTCGATGCCAAATATAAATAAGGATCCCCGTGAAGCGGATGCTAAGCCAAATACTGGGTTGACATAAAAAAATCACTGTTAGAACAATGCAAACAGCAACATAGACGGAACAGTCACAGGATTAATTCTGCTCCACTTAGACTTCGAATGAATGCGGGTTACGGCATGCTAAACAGGTTCAACTGGAAAATTTGCTCTAGTTGACTGAAATACACTGAATAATTAAGCTAGGGCTCAGCCTCATGAAAAACTCGTAATAAGCGCTCAATGTACCGCTGTTACAAATGAACCATAAGGAGAATATGGCGTTTCAATGCAGATAGCTGCGTTATAACTGCAGACATGGATACGATGGAGCGATGCTGCCGGGTTCGAGAGTGGATGTTGTAACATCAATCTAAGAGGCGCTCAGATTGTCCTAACAACAAATCGGCCTCATTTTTATTTTAACGAAAAATCACTTTATATATAATTGTAAAATTATTTCAAACATCATTGTTGTTGATTGCGAGCGGTATTTTTCATCTTCTTGACGCCCTCAACAAGTTT